TGTGTCGTTGTGTCATGTACCGTCCAGGTTACTTTGTCGTGGTTCATGGCTTGCTGGCATTGTCGAGGATGTCACGCCACCTTTTCGGGCAGGGCTAGTAATTATTGCAGCTGGCACTTTTGTGCCGTTGTGTCATATGCCGTCCAGGTTGCCTTGTTGTGGTTCATGGCTTGCTGGCAAGGCCAGTAATTGTTGCAGCTGCCATTTTTGTGTCGTTGCGTCATGTGCCGTCCAAGTTGCTTTGTCGTGGTTCATGGCTTGCTGGCATTGTTAAGGATGCAACGTCATCGCCAAATGAGCGGTGTTGCTTTGTTGCCTTTTTAAGATTGATTTTCTTTTGGGTTGGCAGTAGCTGGCGTGCGATATTAAGTTTAATTTTGTTTTGTTTACAAAAATCAATGTTTTGCGTAAGGTTTTTGTTTAGGATTTTCTCATCAATAATGCCATTGTATTATTTTATAAAATGCAAAACACCCTGACCTTTTGCACAAATATAGAAGAAACACTATATATTTTTTATCATATTTGACATGCCAATGATTTATTAGAACCGATGTCTTTGTAGATAACCTAGTACAACACGTGTAGGCCCAAATATAGGAGAAATACTCATCGTTAAATAAAAGAATATTAAAACTTGGCTCCTTGGTTGGCATCTCCAAATGCCTACACCATTTTGTTTAGGCACACACTGTTTCAGCAAGATTGAAATTCGTTAGCTTTTGGCAACTATTCGTGATTATCTCAAAGATTCGTAAGCCAAGCCAATTTAGTGATTATTTTTATATTTGTGCCCAAACACTTTGCCTACCAAAATTACAAAGCCACTTAACACCACACATCGCTATAGATGAGAACGGTATGTTTTAATTTGTCGCCAGATAACCTCAAAAAAAAAAATAGTCGCCAGATTGAAATGTACAATTGCACGGCTGTAAATAAGGTAGGGAAAGGGCCGTTTTGTTGCTGGATTGTGCTCTCATTCATTTTCCCAGGGAACATACAGAGATGAAAACTTTATTCTTTTCATGGGCAAATGCCTCCCTTTTTTTGCCGGGATAACACAAGTAACATCGATATCAATCATCAACAAAACCAACAAACGCTACAAGTTACAACAAGTTCTTTCTTCCGGAGCAATGTTCTCAAGTGGAGAAACTCTCCTCGGTGATTGACTTTAAAGAAAAGGATTTAAGCTTTTGGGTTCCCACATGTCTACATCCATTCTCTAGAGCTGATGAGGTGCACCATGCTATTTCGAGCACGCATGTTAATTGAGACAAAGATTTGAGAGTGATGTGCTCAAGCCATTGCATTTCCAAAGATAAGAAAAAGAAAGAAAAGCCATAGTCACAAATGTGCAACCCATGGGATGAGATGGGGTAATAAAAAAGCCATCCGGCCGGGCCGCAAATCCGCGGCTTTATCTTAGTGCTCAAATGCGTACAGGAAATAATATAAATCTACCTAAAAAATAAAGAATATGGGATGTGATGCGGTTCACGATCAAACGCGTACGGAAAACAATCTAAACTTACCAAAAAACAATAAAGAATGTAGGATGCCATGCATGGTATGTAAATCATGGAACTGATACGTAACATAAGTAAACCACATGATATATGGAAGTGATGCAAAAGGCAAGTTAATTAACGTAAGTGAATCACATGATACATGGAAATGAAATATATATATAGAAAGAAAAACCATGGTCACAAAATTTCGCCACCCATGCATGCCATGAGATGGGGCTAAAAACCCATATATAAATCCGCAGCTTTATTTTAAACCCAAGCCCGACGGCCCGGGGATGGGAGGGAGCGAGGCGGCAGGTCAAACCGCCGAAGAAGGGGAGGCAGCAGAAAGAAGATTTCGAAAAATTGAAACCGAAGCGCACATGGACGGAGGGTCGGTTGGCAATATGGGGGAAGGCCGAGGGCGGGATAGGAAGATCGCCCCCAGCATAAATAAAAGCGGACGCAGGCCGCAGCCACGCTCTTGGCTTTCCTTTCTCCCCTGATTTTCTATTTTCTTCTCTCGCCTCCCGTCTCCTTTCCCCTTCGCTGCCCCACCCCACTACGGACCGGACCCGACCGGACCGGACTACTCCCCACCCCGCCGCCCGCCCGCTCTGTTCCATCCTCCCCCCTCGCCATTCCCTCCGGCGTGGCCGGTGGCCGGGCGGGAGCAGCAGCTGGTAGGGGAGGGAGGCGGGGAGAGGGGTTTGGATGGCGGCGTGATCGGCGGAGGGGGCGGCGGCGGGCGATGGGGAAGGCGGGGTTCGGGGTGGCGGCGGGTTGCGCGGCGGTGACGTGCGCGATCGCCGCGGTGATGGTGGCGCAGCGGGTGGCGGCCAGGGCGCGCTGGCGGCGGGCGGTGGCGCTGCTGCGGGAGTTCGAGGAGGGCTGCGCCACGCCGCCGGCGCGCCTGCGCCAGGTGGTGGACGCCATGGTCGTCGAGATGCACGCGGGGCTCGCCTCCGACGGCGGCAGCAAGCTCAAGATGCTCCTCACCTTCGTCGACGCGCTCCCCAACGGGTACGGCCCCCAAGGCCCCTCCTTCCCCTCCCTTGCTGCTGCTCCGGCCGCCGGGCCTCGCGCCGCCGCCGCCTTTTCTTTGCCTGCTTCCTTCCTCGCGATTCCCTGGCGATTCCTCGCGCTGCTTTTCTCGGGTTTCTTGGTCCCTGCTTTTATTTTGGTTTTAAAATAACTCGGTGTGATTCTTCGGCGGAGCGGAAAAAGGAAACATGTAAAGCCTTTGGTTTGGTTCCTGCCATCTTTATCTGTTTGAACGAACGCTTTCTTTCTTTCTTTCTTTCTCCCTCCCTCCGGTGGTTGGATCATGCCCTCCAATCTCGCCTCGCCAATCCGCTTTTCCGCATGCGAATGTGGCCACCCCCCTTCGCCGTGGTTCACGCTTTTCTTTCCCGGGAGACGAGGTGCTGCCGCCGCGAGGTCGCACACACCACTTCAGAGATTTCTCCGTCGAGTTCTGACTGAGCGATATGCATTGGTTGGGTCTTCCACTGCCAGCTAAGTTGGATGGCCGTCGGTCTGAACGCTGCACACACCACTTCAGAGGTTCCTGCTCGGCGGCCATGTCTGGCCCTGTTGTGGAATGCCGAACGTATCCGGGTCGCAACCCCGTCCGCCTTTCCGACGCGCTCATTCACCCCCAACAGTAAACGCACCTGGGACGTTACTTTTTCCCCGATGTTTATTGTGTTCGTAAAGAAAAGAAATGCCCGCTCTTTATTCGATTCCGCATAATGCCGCGCGCATCCGCCCACCCGCCTTCTGAATTCCACGCCACTGCGCCGTCAGTCCACAATGCTGCCACTTCAACTTCTTGGAGCGGCATCCATCTGTTGCTTTGTCTCTGCGTTGGATTGCAAGCTCTGTTTCCAATCGCCATCCTTCCAAGGATCTGTATAGTTTTGATGCCTGCCTGCTGTGCTTATGCCGTGGCGTTGATGCTGCTCTGGGGCGAAAATAGTTAATATGCCAGATGCCAAGAATTTGACATGTGGGCGCTTGTGCTGCTGCCTGGGGCATGCACTGCCCCCTGTTGCTTTGAGCTTGCATTCATGGCGGGCGGGGTTGTTGCCCGGACCGCCATAAAGGGGCATCTTTAGTACATGAATCTACCAACACTTGAGAGTGGCCGGCGGGCCGGCATTGGGTTCACAGGCCAGGTTGTATTCCACAATCGCAATGTGGCCGGTGACGCTCTCTGTCAGATGAGAATCATTGCTTGGGAGGCCGCACATCTTAGTTGGGAGAATATCTCCTGTCGATTGTGTGTCGAATCACAGCCTTTTTGTTATATTTCCCCCCCTTCCTCTGTGTTCTACTGTAGACGACACAATGGAGTTGAAAGGTCCAACTCTGTGCTGTTCTGCTGGGGTTCATCTGATTTGAAGCCAAGCATTGTGGTGCGGCGAAGGCCGAAGCAGAAACCAAGCTCCGTCGTTCATTAAGTTGTTCACCAAACTTGTTCTTGTCTTGGCGTAATTGCGATCGGTGGCTTATTGGATTGTTGCACTTGCAACAGCTTGGCCTGCTGGTAGAACCTATAACTGCACAGCAGACAGATCCACATTGGTTTTGGTTGGCCTTTTGTACTTTTGTTTCTGTCATACATTTGGATTTTAGTTCTTTGATGTTTCTTGATCATTGCCAGTGTGGCTTTTTGGTAGGTATTTCTTCGCTCGATGTAGTGTCTTATCAAATGGGAAGCAATATAGTATGAAGTAATATTTGACCAAAGTCATATTTGAAAATGAAAAAAAAAAAAACTCTTTCACAGGGAAACTTCTTGGTAGGTATTTCTTTGTTAGATGTAGAGTGCTATGAAATCTGAAGCGATGTAGTATTAATTAATGTTTGACCAAAATCATATACTTGAGAATATATAAAACCCCTTGACAGGGAAAACCTTTTAGTAGGTATTTCTTTGGTAGATGTGTATCCTATGAAATGTGAAGCAATATAGTATTGACTAATGTTTGACCAAAATCATATTTGAAAACAGTTTGTCTAATTCACATCTAGATGTTTTCTAAGGATGTCACATCTAACCTTCCCCAAATAAGGCAGCAACAAAGAACAAAAAAAAACATTTGAAAATATATAAAACTTCTTCATAGGGAAGCAATCTAAAACATCAATGTGGGACATCTATATTTTTTTTTCTTTCTTTGACTATTCTTTAGTGACCATGTATCAGTGTGTTGACCTGTTTAAGCATGTTCATGTTTTATGTATAATTGCACATTGGACCACACAGCAACTGTACACCTGGAAAACCTCTTCTATTTTGTTAGTTCAGGCCTTAATCACTGTAGTGTGCATTAACCCCCTCTCATCTCCTCTCTGGAAACAGAGTAACTAATTAACTATGGTACAATATTGGTTTGCAAATCTGGCATGTCTGTAGCATCTTGCCTAATAGTCTACTGTTACCGTGGTAGTGTACACACATTAGTCTGGGATAACAACAGTCGACAGAGAGGGTGAGCAGTAAGCAGGTGTGCTGGCAGCTAACACATGATGCACATATGCCATGAAGGTTGTTTCATCTGTTATGAAGGTGTCTCTGCGTGCTTAGATGTTGGGATAATAGTTCATTCGTATTGGTTCATTCAGTTAACAGAATGACTGAGCCATGGCGGCCCTCCAGGCTGTTTTCTCTGCCATGGCAGCATACACGCTAGGTTGTTTCAGTTAGCGTTTTTTCTGTTTTCTGATGCATGACAACACAATTTTGTTGTGTGTTTCGTTTTCGTGCGTTTAGCTAGCACTCGACGTGGCCCAGCTGCACGACCTAGTCCATGGGATGGCACGGCATGATCGGTTTGTTGCGTAAAGCACATCACGTTCAATTTCCCTTTAATGAATATAAAAGGAGAAGAACAGAAAAGCAGCAGAACATGCGCTGCACAAACACCTCTCTCTCAGTAAGTCACAATTGGGCACACCAGTGGCTACAGCTCCAGTCTGCGCATTCTGCATGCATTGGTAGCTACTGCACTGATGCATGACTCGAAACTATTTGAGCCATCATATCTATTTAAGATTAGCCTTGTAGAAAATCTGTTGTTATGGATGGTTGATTGCAACTTATAGGACCAAATATGCAAGTCACCCAAGTCCAAAAATTTATTTAAAACACAAGTTCATTTTCTCATTGATTTTTATTTTGTGGTGACTCACTGGAGTTAAGGTGCATACTAGTTCTGTTTACCCAACGCATCTGTGATCCTTCATATACCAAACACAGCTACAAACTATGTTTTAATTATTATTTTTCTGAATGGTTCAGCAATTGGATTATTTCCCGTCAAATAGAACTTCTCTTTGCAGCCACTCTGTTTGAAGTTGCCATGCCATGGTTCATTTATTAAAATATGCTATGACCAATGGAGAGATATTATTCATAATGCCAATAGCTTTTCTGCCCCCTTCTCATATGCATTTTGCATACCCAACAGTCATATTGAATTGTCTTTGGTAATGCACTTTGACAGGGATGAAGAAGGTGTATATTATGCCATTGATCTTGGAGGAACAGACTTTAGAGTCTTGAGGGTTGAAATTGATGCTGGATCTACAACCGTTATTAATCAGAGGGTTGAAACTCATGCCATCTCTGAGGAGTTGATGGGCACAAGTCAGGTACTTGTCTTGCTGTATTATATCTATGTTTGTAAGATGTGTATTTGGTACATTTCTCTGAGGATTAATTCAACTGCAGGATTTATTCAACTTTGTTGCCTTGACACTCAAAAATTTTGTTGAAAGAGAAGATGGAAAAGATGCCCAAAAGCCACTTGGGTTTACATTTTCTTTCCCTGTTAGACAGAATTCAGTTTCTTCAGGGTCATTAATTAGGTGGACTAAGGGGTTTTCAGTTGGAGACACAGTAAGTTTTTTTCCCGCACAGAATAATACCTTCCTGTATGTTGTTTTCCATGTTATCCATCCAGTCCTACATCATTTAAGTTGTAATATTGGTAAATGTCTCTAGTGATTATAATAGGATGATAAAGTTGTTAAAATGGTCTTGATGAGATTGAGTAGTTTATGAAATTATTCTGGTTAATATCTGTATGTTCTGTATGGAAAATGGGGGTTTACTTACACATGTAAATTTCCAATGCCAATGGTTGTTGGTATCAACACCTATGATTAGCCCTTTATTTCTCATCCTTCCGGAATCACACGTTGTTTTCTTTTGGTGTATATTTACTTGTCTACTTCTTGAAATGTTCATTTCCAACTCATGTGAATCATGGATCCTCAGGTTGGGAAAGATGTCTCTCAGTGCTTAGATGAGGCGCTTGCTAGGTGTGGATCAAATATGCGAGTTACTGCACTGGTACGTCTTACCAACTTTTGTTGGCTTAATACTTAGTTACTTTTGTGCTTTCATTCAGCTGAGAACCACAGATAACTGACTTGCTGTATTTATGATTATTGTGTGCCACTACCCGTGCTATTACATCTAATTTTTGTGTAGACACACTTTCAAATGCAAATGAAGCATTTTAAAATCCAAAAATCTCTTTTCTCGATGCCATGCCTTCCTTTAACAGTTCTATATTTTAGCATGGCAAAATATTAATCGGATTAAAGTAATTATGCAAAAAAATTGCTGCCATATATTTTCATTCTCAAAGCTACATGTATTAGCACGGTCTCCGTTATGCTTCTTGTATTTCTGAAAATATCTGTACATTGTCACACATTTAAATGATTAATCTTTTATGTTAATTTTGTACTTAGGTCAATGATACTGTGGGGACATTAGCTCTAGGGCATTATTATTACAAGGATACAGTGGCTGCTGTGATCATTGGGGCCGGCACCAACGCTTGCTATATCGAACGCACTGATGCAATTATCAAGTGTCAGGGTCTTCTTACAAACTCTGGAGGAATGGTATGTTATTTTTCTGCTTTATCTGTAATTGGCTTATAGTTTATTGTATAAACTGAAACACAAGTCTCTTACAACAAAGTATTCTATGCACCAGGTAGTTAACATGGAATGGGGAAATTTCTGGTCATCACATTTGCCAAGAACTGCTTATGACATCTCTTTGGATGACGAGACACAAAATCGCAATGATCAGGTAAGTAGGCTATGCAAATTTCAATCTTATTGCATCTTTGTAGTGTTGTTAATACGATGTAACTTGCTTGTCTGTGATACAGGGCTTTGAGAAAATGATCTCAGGTATTTACCTTGGGGAAATTGCAAGACTGGTACTCCAAAGAATGGCCCAAGAATCAGACATTTTTGGTGATGGTGCCGAAAGTCTGTCAACCCCTTTTATTTTGAGGTAGTATTTCCACACATGAAATCCTTGTCCTGCTTCAGACGCTTAAGCGGTAAGGCGCCGTGGCAGCGCCTTAGAAATATGCCCGCTTTAGTCTCTTATAGGCGTCGCTTAAGCGTCAGAGCGGGTGGTGCTCGCTTTAGGTTGCTTTACTGCCTTATAAACCATGCATCAAATGTTTGCTTAGTATCAGTTCAATATTTCTCCATATCAACGTTATAGGATTACCTGGTTTTGTAGCTTGTCAGCACTTACCATTACCAATTTCGACCCAATAGTCTGTCGTACAATTAGCTGAATATTTCATGGAATATTTCTCCTGTGTTACATTGTTGCTTATCCGCTTAACCGAGACTCTGGATATTAAGCTGCATTTTTAATTCAGTATTTTAATTTCGAATAGTAGCATTTATCTCATCTTCCTCTGTGTTCCAGCACACCATATCTGGCAGCAATTTGCGAGGACGATTCACAAGATCTGAGCGAAGTCAGAAGGATACTGCAAGAACACCTGAAGGTAAGCTTTTCCCGGCTGCACCTTGTGTATAAATCCCATGCAGCTGCTCTAAAAGCAATCCTCTATTTTTCCAAGGCATGCGACTCTCTCCTCATCTTTTGATTGTTCCCATTCCAGATCCCCAATGCCCCTCTGAAGACTCGGAGGCTGGTGGTCAAAATCTGCGACATCGTGACCCACAGAGCTGCCCGTCTCGCCGCTGCTGGCATCGTGGGCATACTGAAAAAGCTGGGCCGAGACGGGAGCGCCAGCGCGGCCTCCTCGAGCGGAAGAATGAGAGAGCAACCAAAGAAGACGGTGGTGGCAATCGAGGGCAGCCTGTACCAGGAGTACCCGGTGTTCAAGGAGTACCTGGATGAAGCCCTGGTGGAGATCCTGGGCGAGGAGGTGGCGCAGACGGTGACGCTGCGTGTGATGGTGGATGGGCCTGGTACCGGGGCCGCGCTTCTGGCCGCGGTACATTCGTCGAATAGACAGCAACAACAAGGAGGAAGGGGAGGAGGTTCCATATAGGGAAGTGGTGGATCAGAGAGACATGGTGATACAGCTTGGCCCTCTGTGCAAATGTAAAAAGGGACATTATTTGATATCTATAATTCATATAATATATATATGAAATCGGGTCATGTGCAGAGATGTCTCCCCGTTCTGGCTCAATAATAATAATATCTTCTCCTATGTCTTGTTTGGCAATTGGTTTGCTGCTGCGTTTCTTGTTTGGCAATTGTTTTGACCGTTGCATTTCTTGTTTTCTGTATTTATTGTTTGGCAATTGGTTTGCTGCTGCATTTTTTCTCTCTTCACTTTGGAACAAAGGAAAATGGTTGGAATTTTGAGGTACTGATTTTTTAATACGAAGATGTCTGCCTTTGGTGCTGTTTGGAACAATAACCAAGATTTCTATGAGGTGAGAACACAAGCATGATCTTACCTCATGTTTCCTTGTGTCTAGAATTTCTATGTTGCGACGACAGCAATAGACCTCGACTCCGGCGGCAGCAGCGACCGTCTTCGGAGTGGGGCAACAAGCAGAGGCAACGGGGTGGCCGCGGAGGTGTTCGGTTGTCGCCGGAGTAAAAACAATTCCTCATCTAATAGTGACAGAGGTTTGGATAGGTGCCGGTTAGAAGAGGAAACCCCAATTTATCCTCCTCTAACGCCTTTTAGGAGATCGGTTAGAGACATGCTCTTAGCGTGCACCAACTTGCGTCAAGTAGCTGAATAGACCAAAACATAACTTAGATGATTTTGTTCTTTGTGGTGGAATCAACGCACCTAGATTTAAGTTCTAAACTTAGAACAGGTGCTCACGTATTTCCTATATTTCTTATAAATATTTTGGCGCTGTTCTTCCTGAGATATAACGCTGTGCCCATTGCATATGATGACAGACTATGAAAACATGTTGCCTCAGTCTCTCAGGAGTGCTCATATGGATTAGTTTTGTGTTGTAAACGTCCACGTCTGCACTATGTCTCTTGAAACATTACCAACCCTCAAATGTTTCTGAATTTAAAATAATGCCAAGCATTTAAAAAATTCATTAAAAAAATTGTTGGGAATTACAAATATCATCCCCCAATTTCCAAAGAATGTTCTTCATTTCACAAAAAATGCAAATTTGTAAAAAAAAAAGGACCGTGAATTCAGAAAATGTTCGCCAATTTGTAAAAAAAATCATGAATTTGATTTGTTCTCCAAATTACAAAACATGTTCAGAAGTTGAAAAATATTGTTGATCTCAAAATATGTTCACAAATTGGAAAGATGTTCGTGAAAAAGAAAAGGAAAAAAAGATTAAACAGAGGAGAATAGAAAATGAAAAAAAGAAAAAGAAAAAGAAACATCGAATAAAAAAATGAAGAAGTAAAAGGAAAGAAAAATCTGGAAGAAGAAACAAAGGCCAAACATAAAACTGGAACAAAAAAAATGAAAAACTCGAAGGGACTGGAAGAAATCTGAAATGGGACGGCCCAAAAGAGGATCAGATGTTGGAGGGGGTACGCGGGAGCAACTAGTTAACGAGCGCTCCTTCGCGAGCCTCGCAACGATCAGCGCCACTTGGCGCGCTCTCAGCCATTCGCCACGTGTCGCGCTTTGGACACTCCCTTTGGATTTTTTTTATTTTTCCGCATGCGTTTTCGGCTTTTTAAATAGTTTTTTTCGACGTTTTGGTTTTCCCCCGGTCTTTCTTAGTTTTTCGATCAAAAAAAATTTCGAGATTTTTTTTGCGCGAAAAAACGCGTTTTTTTCCCGCGAAAGTCACGGTTTTTTTCCGCGAGAGGCACGGTTGTGCTTTAGCGAGAGTCACGGCCGTGCCTTCCAGAAACGAAAAAAAACGCGTTTTCTGTTTTTTTTCTTTCGCGAGAGTCACGGTTTTGCTTCCGCAAGAGGCACGATTGTGCTTTCGCGAGAGTCACGGCCGTGCCTCTCGGAAAGGGAAAAACAAAATGCGTTTTCTGTTTTTTTTTCTTTCGTGAGAGTCACGGTTTTGCTTCCGCGAGAGGCATGGTTGTGCTTACGCGAAAGTCACGGTCGTGCCTCTCGGAAAGGGAAAAAAAATACGCGTTTTCTGTTTTTTTATTTCGCGAGAGTCACGGTTTTGCTTTCGCGAGAGGCACGGTTGTGCTTTCGCGAGAACCACGGCCGTGCCTCTCGGAAACAGAAAAAAAAACATGTTTTCTATTTTTTTTCCTTCCACGAAAGTTATGGTTTTGCTTCCACGAGAGGTACGGTTGTGATTTCGTAAGAGGCAGGGGCGTGCCTCTTTCGGAAAGGGAAAAAAACCGTGCTCCCGGTTCGGTTTTTTCGCCCGGTTTTTTTCGTCCGTTTTTTTCGTGGAAAAAAGTTCGTCAAAACTTATCAACATGGGATCTAGTTTTGAAGATCTCGACGCGAGGAATCCAATGGTGAAAACGGTTCAAAATTTGGACGCACGGTTTAAGAGATAAAACGTTTTGAATAAACGGATCTACAAAAAAAGGGAAAACTCCCAGATTGCGACAAGTGACGCGCTGCATGTGCGCCACTTGTCGCGACCAGAGAAAGTGGAGTGTTCCTTGCAACGAGTACTCCTTAATTAGTGATTTCAGGGTACGCACTAGGTAGCTAACTAACGTGCGACCTACGTGCAAAATAGGAGACACCCAGTTAAGTGATAGCTCGTTGCGAGCCAGCAAGCAAAAAAATAGAAGAAGAGAAACCGGTCGACCCAGTTAGTAACCGAGAGAGTTGTTCCTTTAGCTGAGAGCAACTCCCCATCTCGCGCCAAGTGAGATATAGCTCTCGTGCATAATGAGACGGTCACTGCTAGACCACTCGCTCTTTTTTTTGTCGCATCGCTCGGTTCCTATATCATTTGTCCGCTCACTTTCTGAGGTTTTTCCAATGTTGTTTTAGCGGTGCTTTCCTTTAGCATAATAAATTTTGAAAAGAGTTCACAATTGCTTTTAAAAATTCCATGAATTCAAAAATGTTCGCATATTAAAAAATATTTGCGGATTCAAAAAATGTCTATGCATTCCTTTTATTTGGATTTTAAAACAGTTCATGGAATTAAAACTGTATAAATTTTTATTCACAACTATGAAAAAAATTCATGAATTTCGAAAAAAATTCATAGTTTCAAAAAATATTCATGAACTTGAAACATATTAATTAAATTCAAACAAACCATGAATTCAAAAAAATCACGAATTTAAACCAATTCAAGAAATTAAAAAATATTCGGGACTTCAAATAATGTGCGAGAAATTCAAAAAAAGTTCACGATTCAAATAATGTTCACAACTATTAGAAAATTCATAAAATTTGAAATGTGTTCGAAACTTTGAATTTTATGTGTGAATTTGAGTGGAAAAAAAAGAAGACCGGTGGAAAACAAAAAAAGAAAAAGTTGAAAAGAAATCCAAAAAACGTAGTGAAAAAAAGATATGGAATGTTATGAAAACAAGCCTCAGCCTAGACCTTCTCGAAACCATTCCTCGATGCGCTAGAAGACGTGGCCCATCTTGGAATCTTTGGTTTATAATGGGCCGGACCTGCTCATGCGTGGTTTAGCGAGTGCTATGCTGCATGTAATTTGTGAGAACAACTAATTAGGGGTTACCGATCCTCAAAAAAAAACTAATTGGAGGTTACCACTACGGGGGTCGGGGGGACCTCCAAAGGTCATTTTTGGTGGTCTGAGAGTACACCTACGGGTATGTCCAGTCGCCGCCATTTGTTTGGGCACTCCCTCTAAATTTCTTTTTGTAAACTTTCTGGGGTTCTAGATCGTTTTTAGGGGTTTTTTTTGCGGGGTTAAAAGGGATTTCATTACTCAACGCATGATGAGTTTGTTCCTACAAAGCAGAGGAACATCTGCAGGCCTAGAGCGCAACCATACTGCAGTTCGGCCCTCCGAGCGTCCGAAGCCAGCAAGGGTATGACTGACAACGTTTTGGTTCCTACTTACATGAGCAATAGAGTTATCCCTTTCACCAAAGAGCCTTTTAATTTTCTGAACTAACATCATATGAGGTGATCTGTCAAGAGTGGGCGACTTGATCAACCTGACTGCATCCATGCAATCCATCTCGATGTCCACTGGGAGAGTAGACCACTGAAGAGCAAGGTTTAAACCCTCATGGCATGCCAAAAGCTCAACTTGAAGAGGTCCGGAGCAGTGTCGTATGGAGCGGCAAGCAGAGAAGACGATGTTGCCGTCGCTGTCGCGAAGGATCATGCCGGCTCCCGTCAAGCCACCATCAGTCTCGATGACCGATCCGTCCACGTTCAGCTTGACACGTCCGGCCAACGGAGGAGACCACTGGATAATGGTGGTATGCTGCACTGGCGGGTGTATGCTTGAAGAACTGTAGCCAGCAGTTGGAAGCACCATTTTACCTTTGATTAAATCGGTTGTAGGGAATTGTTGGATGCAGCGAAGGGAATCCACATAACTGAGAAGGAAGTGGCGTGATGCTTCAATTGGCATGTTTTTCCAACATTTTGGAGAAAACATGTGTGAATATTCTTTTGTAATTAAAATTGTGCTTCCATGAGAAGCACATATTTGTCTCACATGGAAGCATAGTTTTGCTTCCACGAGAACCACAACTCCGCTTCTCCGGAAAAAAAACATAGCCTGTGTTCCAAAAAAAAGTGAAAAACCGTGGCCGTGCTTCCGGGATCCGTTTTTTCAAGTTTTTGTGTGAACCATTTTTTTCTTTCCCTTTTTCTGTATCCATTTTAGTTTTATTTATCCAGTTTTTCATAGAAACAATTCATCAAAACCTCTTAACATGCGATATAGGTTCAAAGTGTTTGATGCAAGAAATCTAACGGTGAAGATGGTTCAGGATTTGAATGCACGGTTTAGAATGAAAACCGTTTTGAATAAACGAATATATGAAAAAAAAAGGAAAACAACCAGATTGCGATAAGTGATGCACATGATGTGTGCCATTTATCAGCGTCTAAGAAGATAAGATGACCATCGCAAGGGGTAACCCTTAGCTAGTGATTTCGACGACTTGTTCGTGAAGGCGAGCGATTTAAAAAAATATTAGGGCAAGAGCGATTTTTAATGAACGAACAACAGCCGAAACCTGCTAAAAACTCCAAGCGCTAGAAGAAGCGGCCCACCCTACTACCAGCAGCACCACTACTACGTGCGCGCGGGTGGACCACACGCCGCGAAAGCCGCGAGGCCCATCCACACAGCCCCGGGCGTGCGTCCGCCATTGCCGCCTCTCTCTCTCTCGCCCGCCTTCGCCTCCACCTCCCCGCGCAACGCGGCACGCCCGCCTCGCCCTCCCTCCCTCCTCGGCGCCGGCGCCGGCGCCCCGTCGATCGATCGCACCGTGAACTCTCCCTCCCCGCCCTCCCCGATTCAGGCTCCCCTTAATTACCGCTCCGATCCGTGGCGCGTGCGCCGCGGCCGCAGGCCTAGGGATTGATTCCGGCCGGGCCAGCACCCGTCCCTGCTTCCGTCGCGCGGAATTCGTTTCTGGCACGGGCAATGATCCGGCGGGTTTTGCTTCTGGGACGACGGTCGGGCTGTGCGGTCGCGGCGGCGAATTCTGTTTCTGTCCAGCTTTGATCCTCCCTGTTGCTGTCAGGTGTCAGCTACTCTGCAATTTTTACCTGACGATTGCATGGCTGCGCATACCAGCACTGGTCGATTTTGGAGCGATTGTATCGCTGATTCGGCTGTCGTGTGGTTCGCCGCCATTGCTGTCAGTTTCTGTTGATCCTTGAACTCTGAATGAATGATTGATCTTACAGGGGGACAGGCTTTGATTAGAGACTGTCTAGCGGTGGAAGTGAGGTCAATCGCCGGCACTTTCAGGCCACTTAGACCCGTCATCCGCATCCTCTCCTAGTGTTCAATCAGCCTGTCCCTGGACATGAATGACATTTCACCAACTGTTGTTTCAACTCGTACATTGCACTTGCAAGTGTTTGTTTCGCAGTCCGTCACCAGTCATCGATTGATAAGCTGGAATTGAATGATTGTATATTGTCAGATCAAATGACTAGTTTCAGTCTGTTATAGTACTTCAGAACTCATGTATAATTTAGTTTCCGTATGTTATGTTGCTCGGAACTCATGTAGAATTGTTTGGGTTCAGTTAACTGGTACTACATATATTGCATGTGTTTATTTGTTCGCAGTCCGTAACCGGTGATCGATGGATAGGCTGGAATTGAATGCTTGCGTGTTGTCAGATCAAATGAGAAGTTTGTATCTGTTATACTCAGAACTCATGTAGGAGAATTAGTGTCAATCTGTTATACTCGGAACTCATGTACAATTGTTTGTGTTCAGTTAACTGGTACTACATACATCGCATGTGTTTGTTTCTTTGCAGTCCGTAACCAGTGATCGTTGGATAAGCTGGAATTGAATGCTTGTGTATTGTCAGATCAAAGGACTAGTTTCAGTCTGTAATACTTTGAGCCTATGCTTCTAATATGGTCCGGAGTGATGTCCGTTAGACGAGCATAGCAGTGATGTTCATGTTGCTGAAATCCACATGTGGTGTATGATAGTCGTTGATAGGTGACGCTTCTGGTGGCAGCTAACAGAGTGTGCCATTATTTCCTCACAGCTTTGTGCTGGTTCAGTCCAAAATGGTACAGGTAGATTTAGACAGGTTTTTGTGTAACATAACATCTGGACATCAATCATGCCCGTTTCTTTGTCTGCATTGTGGACTAGATCAGCACGAGTTTTTTCATTGCCCTCCGACGTTATCCAGTTCTTGTCAGGCTGACTGAAACCCATCACAAATGTTTAGCTGAGATGTGTTACACATCGCCGGCATGATTTCACTTTCAATAGCTGCCCTGCCGGACCCTGTTCTCTGAAGCTTCGTAGGATTTTTCATTTTCCCAGTCTGATGTGCTATATCACAGCTATTATTTCCACTTATTTAGATGATATTGCTCGCCAACTGACACCGCAGCTTTTAATACGCAGCAACTTAGTTGCCAGTACCAAGACTTTATCAGAAAAAAGGTGTGGAAAAGACTGCAAGTAGCCATCAATATGTAGAGTAAGTTTTTTTGTTTCTTCATAAATAGGAACTTTTGTCTTGGGCTGTTTCTCCTTTGTTACCTATGAAGATAATTAGGGACAACAGTAGATCACAATTCATTGGTATAAAATGCAGGAGTGTATTGCATCCGTTGCTGTGTGCTCAGCTTTTGGGGCATTTCTTTCTCTGTTCCCTCCTCACCAAAACTTTACACTTTTGTTCCTGCCCATTCCTTTGGTACCAATTATTCGTATACCCTGCAGAAGTTGAACCACTATTTTACCCTACGGACTATCAACTGTTAGTGTTGGATGCACATATCAAGAGAATTTCCTTCCAAAAGCTTCACTATTTGTAACAAGCGTGGTTGATTAAATGACAAGAAACTTTACTATTGCATGCATAGTTCAGAGCATATCATTTTGATTCCTAAAGACTAACAGAGCCTGCTTAACAAAACTTGTGCAGGTAGTTCTGAGATGAGACAAGTGTTTTAAGAGACTGAAGGTTCTACCCTGAAGTTACTCTCTGCCATTATTGACTGAATGAACACAAACAATTCTACATGAGTTCCACTGGTTAGCTAGCTATTACACAACTCTGCTCTACGCTGTAACAACAGCTGGTGGGCTTGTGTCGTTACTCGAACCAGTATAATCCTGGAACGCATGATTGCCTCCAGAGTTAAAGGTCAGGCTGCTCTACTCTGAAGTGTTGGTTGAGGTACCTCCCACCACTACTAGTTGCTATGCTGCGTGTTCTTCAGGCCGCCTTTTTCGGCAGATCTTCTCTTTACAAGGGATATTTTTTGGGTCACCTACATTTATGTACACCATATGCTTTACAAAGTCCTTTACATGGCGGGTGCTGTTTGTCAAGAGGACATGGGCAGTGATGCCTTTGGAAATATTCTCTGTCCTGGGGCTAGGATTGCTAGGGGATCATACATGTGTTTCCTCCGCTCAAATGTCTCCCACCTCGCCCCGAAGTGGGCTTTCCACTGCTGCTGGGTGGTGTAGGGCGCTAGGTACTGCTTCATCCCGACGCCCGCCTTGTCGCAGAAGTCTACGATCTTGTCGTTCAGGCTCACCGCATGCTCGACGCTGCCGTGGCCTGAGGCGGACGGTGCCGACGACAGGAACCCCACCAGGTAGAAGATTTCTTCTTCCGGTATCACCACTGACGTCCTGTTGTCCCACCTGCGCCCCACAATGTGTCAATTTAACCACTTGATCCGTTACCATCAAACCTACGTACAACCAGAGGACAGAGGTGGTAAAAAAAATTAGGTTTCTGATGGAACTGCTTTGCTTACTTTGATCTGTTTACTGGGTAGAGGAGTATGGGGCCATTGTTGCTGTCTTTCAGGATCTTGCCGAAGACCTCCCGCGCGAACCGGTGGATGGTGCTTCTCGGGATGAGGAGGTTGAGCCATGGGTGTGGAACCTCCCAGAGGCCCTGGGCCCTGAGCTTGAGCTCGGAGGAGTGCACCCTGTCCAGGAACTCGAGGTACGTGACGTCGGTGTGGAAGAGGGTTGACTGTATGTATCTCAGCCGAGACAGCAGCACACCAACCTCCTGCAAAGACAAAGACAAAGATTAGACTAATTGAAAACCACACACAACCTGGGCGGGCCAAAGGCGTCAACATCTGCATTTGTATGTACATGGGGCGAGAAAATGATTAATCAACTCACCTGTTCCATGATGTCAGCCTCATCAGGGTCGAAGTTCTTGGTCATCTCAAGGCAGTAGAGCACCTTCCCGTCCGACTGGAAGTGGCTCGCCTGCACCGGGTCCTGCGGCTTGAACGACGTCCTCCAGTTGTTGAGGATGCCCGTCCGGTTGATGATCACGAACCCTTCGATGTAGTCGAAGGTCTCCTCCGCCGAGATGAGCGCCTCCTGGTCCTCGGTGAAGCTCGCGAAGTCCGAGTAGAGGACCCGGATCCACCTCACCTGCAATCGTATCCAAGAGATCAGTCCAACTGAATGAAATGTGACAAATGATTGATTTGCTCGTGTGATCATGTATTCACGTACCATCTTTGGTGCAGGTTCGAGGGCGATCCTGGCTCTGGTGATGATCCCGAACTGGCCCAGGCCGCCGAGAGCGCCGTAGAAGAGGTCGGAGTTCTCCTCGGGCGAGCAGGTGACGACATCTCCTCTCCCTGCATTTGGTGTTCATGGGACGATGGATCAGGTACAGATGTAGTTACTGATTAATTTGTTGCTGACTACTCCTAGTTAATGATGATGCCTGGTGCTTAATTAATTTGTGTGGCTGGGTTTGTATGAGACCTGTCACAATCTCCAGCTGGTTGACATTGCTGACCTGCGGTCCTTGCCGGAACGCCTGGCCGCTGACCCCGGCATTCGACAAGGTGCCGCCGACAGTCAAATGGAGGTAGTCGGTCCACGACTTGGGCGCCAGCCCGTGCTTGAGCGTCTCATGCAGCACGTTGATCCAGAGCGCGCCTCCGGGGGCGTCGACATAGGCAGGCACCCCGGCGCCTCCGCTCTGCACCACCCGCATCATGGCGCTGCCCCCGAGTGACTCCATCCGGACGACGATCCCGCCGGCGGCCTGGGACTGGCCCAGCAGCGAGTGCCCGTGTCCGCGCGCAGCGACGGTGAGCGGCGAGCGCTCGCCCAGCTGGAACACGCGGCGCACGGCGGCGGCGACGTCGGCCACGGAGCCCGGGTGCAGCACGGCGGCCGGCAGCAGGCTGCAGCGGTTGCCGAAGTCCCGGGCCGCGGTGGCCAGGTCGTGGAAGCTGAGGTGGCCGTCGAGCCGCAGCGGGCCCAGCGGCGCGAGCACGCCCTCGTCCGGCACGTGCATGGTCACCCCGCCCAGGGCGAGCAGCAGCAGCAGCTTGAGGCAGCACACCACCGACACCCTCACCATGGCTGCCTCCCCGGACTAACTTTATATATACCTCAGGAAAGCTGCGCGGCCAACCCCGATTAGCTAGCCCTCCCCAAGTGTCCACGCAGTTCGGCAGGTTGGTGGACGGCAAGCCGGCGCCGGCGGAGGAAACTTGCAAGGGAGAACAACCAACCTGCCTATAGTTACCGGCGCGCGAGTGAGTTCTTGGCTTGCTGGAGGGTGCAACAGGAGCGGCGGAGAGAGACAAGGGGGAGAGTGAAGGGCGTCGTGGGGATGGATGGAGGGAGGAGTGGGAGGGAGGGGCAGATTTAAAGGGCGCGCGCGGGCGGGCCGGCTGGGTGGCGACGCCGACGCAGCCGCAGCAGCAGCAGCAGCAGGGGGGGACGTGAGTGGCGCGGTCAACCAATCGCGGCCACTGCTGGGTCGTAGAAGTAGAACCCGTAGGAAGACCGACTGCTTGGTTTCCCTGTTGCTTTTGCTTGCACATTCTGGACGGAGACATGCCGTAGTGGCGCAAATGTTTCTTTTTACAGCCCGGTCTCCGCCGTCTCGTCCATCTGAAGCATGTATGCATGGGCGGGGTGCCATGTGTCTGCCTCTGCCGGCCGTTAAACGTACCCCAGTGGAAGAGACACGACTCCAATATCTGAGTATCAGAGAACCTGTCAGCCGATCGAGCACCGGATCGATTCCGCATGGAGCGCCAGCCGCGGCAAAGATCATATATTCTCCATGGATCATGCAGGTGTGTTCCTCCCAGTGGCACCAGGCTCCGGCAGAGCGAAGCGCTGTCGTGCCCTGCCGGCCGGATTTGTAAATTCCCGTGGCGACGCGACACCGGCGGGTCGACGGACGGATCTTCTCCGAACCTGCTGCTGCCGTTGCGCTCGCAGTCGCAGGGTTCACATGGCGCGCATGAGGCTGTCCGCGCCCAGCCCGCAGCGACGCCTACATGCTTTGTGCCATGTTCACATACTGTTCACCATCGCCAGACAGTCAGGATACGCTCTCGTCAATATTTTTTTTTACCTTAAAAACGTATGGGCTTGGATCATCACACCTGGTAAATAACTACTACGTAGTTGTTTCTCTTCTCTTCCGGAGACTGACTGACTGACCAGAGCCGCTGCTGTCAAATGATATGCAGTTATAATTATTGGAGGATGAATGGCTTGACCACTTGGCTGGCGCGCATTCTCACCCACTCTTGTTTTTCCCTCCCCGGTTAACCGCGTCCGCGTACGTAGCAATCATGCACGCAGGCGCAGGTGGGAGAGGAGAGGTCGGAGGAGGCGCAGTTAGTTTCTCGTATCCAACAGCATCCCCCTGACGGCGACGTGTACAGGTACGTACACGATACAGGCAACCACCCTTTGTGGTACGACTTGGACCGTCGCGTGCCCTCTCACGTGCGTACGTGGGTTCCTGGCCACGTACGACGCACGTACACATGCGCTGCGTGGAGTCCGGGGTAACAAAATAGGAGTAGAAAAAGAAAGAGGCTGCGATCGATGTGAAACCGACCGACACCGACACGACGCGATGGACGGGCACTGGCCGACGGGGTGCGTGCGGACAAGTGGTTCGGTCGAACTCGACCCAGAGGGAGGCCAAAAGAAAGCAAAGCAGGGGGCGCGGGTCCTGGTCAGGGCGGAGACCGCTTTGACCGTTGTGTCGAGTCCATCGCCCCGGGCGGCTGCGTATGTGGCTGGCTGGTTGGCAGGCTCCACAAAGGGAGATTCCTTCCACCCTTCGCGCACGTCTCTCACATGCCGCAAATGCTGCCGTTTAATTCGTTAACTATTCTGCTTCCGGGAGGCAACTTCTACTGCTCCTGTCGTACCCTGTTGCGCAGGGCGTATGGTGAGACATTTTCCTTCGTGCGTCCATCGTTTGTGCATTTTTGAAACAATTTAGGGCATTTCCAACGACGCCTGAACCATCTGCATCAATTTCGACGGTCCGGATGCAATTTACCATCCAACACGATATCCTGTCGGTCCGCATAACAGTCTCGCTAACCGGACACAAACTAAGGACGACTTTACAGGACGCAAACTAAGGACACCCTGCCCATCTTGTACTACGGCGCAGTCAACCTAGGATATGTCTCTAGCCAAGTATCCCCCCGCGGCCGACGCCCTCCATGGCAGACACCACTCTCAACAGTTATTCGATCAAATGCACGATCTTTTTTTTGCTGAACTTCTTGTTATTTTCTAGAGCAAGCACGATAGCGGAGAACTTGATGATAGGGAGTGAGTTGATGTGCTATGTGTGGAAGGCCGTATCTGCCAACTTTGTAGGCATGAGGCAAGGGGGCTTGTTGTTTGGGCAGAATGTGTGTGTTTCGTTTCTTGAACAAAAGCACTTTGCGCCCTGCAACGCGCATCTGGTCCATAGTTGCAATGTGAAGTCACTGGCCCAGCGGTGGTACACCATCTTCAACGTCGTCATGAAGTTTTGTAGTGCGATTGCACGAGTGGAAACAATGTGGCCATCAGCCTTGTCAACCTGGAGATCGTTGTTGCTCTACATGTTGGTCAATTCGTCGATCCACTCAATGTTTGAAATTGATAATTATACGTTGGATAGCCTGAACGTGCTTTTGTGATTTACTACAAGAGTGAGGGTAGACCGTTTGCATTCATACATTGCCGAATGAAGCTCAATGGGACTCGAGTATCGTTGAGTTTGGTATCGATGAATTTGAAAAGCTTGTTGAACATCCAATTATCTCAGATATAATATTTACATTTGAACTATTTTTTAGGGAAAACTTTTGATATATTCATCTTTAATCATGGCAGTACAATGAACACCAGAAATGATAAAAATTACATCTAGATCCATAGACCACCTAGAGACAATTATGAGCACTGAAATGAACCGAAAGCGTGGCCACCGTCATCGTCCCTCCCTTGCTGGAGCCAGACAAAACTTGTTGTAGTAGACAGTCGAAAAGCCATCGTGCTAAGGCCCCATAGGACCAGTGCACCAAAATAGCAACCACCGCCGATGAAGTGTATCGTAGATCGGAAGGATCCAACCTGAAAACACACGAACATAGTCGAACTACGAGCAAATCCACCAAAGACAGATCCGCCGAAGACATACATCCACACGCCCATCGATAATGCCAGACCCATCACCATGATGAGGTCTAGGCAGGAAGAAACATATTCCATCTTCAGGGGGTCACCGTCGTCTCGTCTTTCTAAGTAAGATATAAACCCTAACAAAACTCGAGGAAACTTCTAAAATCGAAGCCTTCTCACCGGCAAAGGCCGGGATCCACCGCGCCCTATGGCCTTAAGGTCACTGAAGATGAGGCGGACCAGCGGCGCCGCGGGTTGGAGGAAGAGGAACCCAGGCTCTCTGTTTTTTTTAACTTTACTAGTTTAGTATATGCCATGGCCTTCTCGCGAAAAACAAGGTCAAGATTTTTCATATCAGAGTAAAAGTTGTCACGATGCTACCGTTAGGAGGTAAAATGTGGAATGTACTCTTACACAAGTTCTTTTCAAGCATATTCTGCTACGTATTCTGGAGAGAACGGCAATCACTTGGTGGAATGGATATATTCACGGCCGGGGTTGCTTCCAGAACACCGCCTCAAGTTGGGCCAGGCCAACCACTACACCAAGAAGCGCATGGCAACCCGTGCGCCATCGATGGTGCTGGCGACGACCACTTTTGGCACTTGACCTGTTGACTGCTTCCATCTGTGTCAATGCCGTCCACACAACCCGTCATCGCCAGACACGTGAACGCACACACTTTTTTGCGAGCACTTTCATTTCGCACATCCTTCCATTTTTGCATTTCCTTTTTATTTTACCGTCAGACGTCAAAGCAGTACTTCTTTTGGACGGGAAAGTCAAACTCGTACTTGCAACCAGGGCGGTAAGTACCACCTCAGGCCGTGGCAGTACAAAGATGCTGACTGTATCATTACACAGACAGGGAGAACATCATCGACATCTTTTCGAGAAAACAACATCATGTCCTGACGTGTAAAAATCCCCTGTGTGCGACCAATTATATGGGCACTTGGCACAGGTGTTCCCCCTTTGTTTCCATCTACTCCATGTCTCTGTGTGCGCGCACTGGCTGGCTCGTCAGCTGATGTGTGACCAGCAGCACCGTACTGTCACGCTCACAGAGAGAGAGAGAGAGAGAGAGAGAGAGAGGGGATGATATTTGTGCATGCATGCGCCGGACTTGGCGGCGAGGGCGGCCGGAGAGCGATCGCCGGTGCGGCCCGGCCTCGGGATGTCGGGGAAGTGGAGCGGTGGACTCGCCGGGGCCCCGCGCCCCACGTGTCCCGCCTGGCGTTTCTCCTGTCGCGCGGGCTTTCGGCTCGCGGGCCCTGCCGTCCCGTGCCGACGTGCCGGCTCCCGGGGAGGGGCACGGATCCGACTGGGGGGCCGTGGCCCGCCATGCGTGCTCCAGGGATCCGATCATGTCTGCTTTTGGAACAGGAGCATGGCACATTAGTTCACTACATGATATCATGCTCATCTAGTGCTATAGTAGTTCTATCAGAGGTACATTGACTGCCGTTTAGAATTTTCTGGCTCACGGACTCACAGTTCTTTCCCGACGGCATGTTTTTTCCCCTCGCAAAAGCGTTTCTAAAAATACATGTTGTATAGGGCATCTCCAACACTGATTCTCAAACCGTCCGCACCGGACCGTGTGGTCCGAACGTGTTTTGACATCCAACGCGGCCCCGTGTCGGTCCGTCAACCTGTCCGGGTGTCATCTTTTTCGCAAATTGGAAACAAAAACTAGGGAGCAAGGGTTTTGCGGGCGCCCAGACCACCGCCACGCCTATTTTTTGACTATCCCGACCTACCCAAAAAAACTTACTGGTCTCTCCCGCGCTTTCAATCCAACGTCCGTGCCACTTGGCGCTGGCAGGTATGTAGGCATACACCACGTCTCGAGAAACCAACTCTGGCCGCTGCGCTGCATTTAAGTGGGCTCACCTGCACTTCGCATGGCCGGGCCGC